TCCCTCCTAATGAAAGCAATGGAGAATCAATCACCCATTAAAATTGCCTTTGTAAACATAAATGAACTTGTACTGGAGAAACATCCTTTGAGTACAAATAAATATGAAATATCACATATCCCCATTTGCCTTCAAAGAAACTGAAATACTCATTGGACAGCAAATCATCAGAAAGCGATTGTTAGGAATATGAAAAAGAAAACAGAGTTTTCTTGGTTCTTTTAAAGGACACAAAAATCACACTGGATAATAACCCTGTGTATGTGAGAAAAATGGTTAAGACTTTAGATGCTCCAGTTCTTTTAGATTATATGAAAGAATACATACCAGATAAAACTGAATAGGAATGTGGGGGAAGCATTCAGTTTTTCAGTTTTCTTTAAAGACATCAAATAGAGGGGGAAAGCCTGGAGCTTTTGATAATGTGGTTAGGTTTTCAGTTTTTGAAAACCTTGGAAGAACTCTGGAGGAAAGGTTGAGTGTAAGAAATGTCAGAAGGCCTTCAGTTTTTCCATTTTCACTCAAAGACACAAAAGAACTCGTTTAGAAAAAGACTGTTGGGCACACAGAAAGTCTCCCAGCTTCATTTCTCATGGAAAGGTACATGATAACTCACACTGAAGATGGATATGCATTACATTGACTTTACAATGTGAAAACTTTGCTTTTTTGGGTTAAAGCTTGGAATGTGTCTTTTTATATTAGATACAATTTTGTTGAGACTTTTTACAATTGTATTCAAAGAGATTTGTGTATCTTGGAATAATATAGTATTATTTAGTACATACAGTGTATGCATGTGTATATGTGTATCTGTAGGATACAGTATAGTTTGTACATGAGTAGTATATATTATATAACTAGTTTATATGGTATGTAATTAAAATATATGTAACCACTATTTTACTACATTGGTTGCTATTGAAATCTTATCAGTGTGTAGATTAAAGCATTTCAGTTGCCTACACCACCCCCCACCCCCAGCTACTTCTTGCTCCAGGAACATGGTTACCAGGGTCCCCAATATTCAGCATCAGCTCTTTTTTTACCAGGTAGAAATCATGGCCTTGGGACTGCATCTGATATCAAATCCTCAGCATCAACTGGGTGCGGTGGTACCCACCTTCAATTCCAAAACTGGAGAGGCAGAGACAGGAGGGTCTCTGTGAGTTTGAGGCCAGCCTGCTGCCTGGTTTACATATGGAATTCCATGACAGCCAGGGATATATATATACACACACACAAACTTCAGTGTCACCCATTCTTGTTCCTGCAGATTCCTGAAAGCCCTATTCTGCAGCTCTGGGCATATGGCTAGCAAAGCTTTAGATCAGGTCCCCACAAAACCACCAATATATGATCTACAGACATCCTATCCACATCCTGTAGTACTGCACATACTAAAGTTTTAAGGCCTAGCACCATCTTTACTCAAGGGATGTAAGAAGGTCTCTCATTTTACTCCTGCAAGAGATTGGACACCAGAATCATAAATCCAGATGCATCCTTTACATGTCCCATAGTTTTTAGAGAAGATTTTCAGAGCAAACAGACCTAAAAGATTCTGAAAAAAAGTCCTGGCACTACTTGGGCTTATACCATGAGGCTTCCAGAGGACCTCATCTAGGTCTCATACCCACAAAAAGTGGTTAAAGTGCTACATGCCCCGGTACCTACTTCATCTCACACCTAAGGAAGGTACCCTTTGTGTTTCAGAACCTAGATTCTGGAATTACCATGTCACACACTACAGCCTTGTCTCATAAGACCTGGTGTAGGTTCCATGGCATCCTGTGACATCAAAACTTTGGCCAGTGGTGCCACAATCACGTATCCTGCATTTGTCTTGGGTCCCATGGAAGGTCTTCACATGCCTGAAAGCATCAGCTCATGGCATCACCTATGTTTGTCCTTGAGGAAGACTTGGGATAGTTTTCAGTATCCTGTAGCACAGCTAATGATAGTTGCCACCAAAATATCATTATTTCCACTCTTGATGTCTGAGAATCCACACACCTTTGGATGCCTGTGTTCACTACATAATCATACAACTCTTTATGAACTGCTGTGGTCTAGACTGTTAGGATACTCATGGACTCTGCTGACATCAAGCAAAGATGAAAACACAGGCTGGGCTCAGTTGTAGGCAATTATTGGGATCTAGAGGGCACCCTACAAGGAACTGTACAGGGACACAAGCAGAGAATGTTTATAAGGAAGAGTACTTTCCAGAAGGGAGGTGGGCCATAGCTGGGGAAAGGTCAGGCTGAATGTTCCCGCTCTCTAGCACATTGGGATCTTCCTATATTATTTATGCAGTGTGCCCTTTTAAGTTGCCTAAGCTTCAGTTGGCGTGGGCTTTCCCTGAATTTTTTTCCTGGGTTGTTTATCACTTATAGTTACTAGTTTGTATAATGCAGTTCATATGCACAAGCTCTACTCTTCTGCCCCAGCTTTACTATCAAACCCGGTAGATATGGGGGTCATAGACTCCTGCATATTTATTTCCCCGTGTCTCAGTTGCCTTTCCTCTTCACCAGCTAAGTAAGAGACCACCCTAAGAATCAGTATGGGTATATAAATCTGGCTGTGGCTAAGACACAGATTTGCAACGTTGAGCCTATACGATGGGAAAGCACAGAGACTTCTACTTGGGAGCTGTGGTTGGACTCTTGGGAGGAAAAGTTGGATAGCCTTTGTATGGCCGAGTAGGAGCCGGAGCAGAACACTGGTGTGGCAGGTGTAGAGGATCACTCACTGTCTGCTTCCTCTTAGATTGTTTGGTTGTTTTTTCCAGTCTCAACTCCTCAGAGGTTTGGTAGAAATGCAGCCACTTCTTGGGAATTTCCCACACATGCACTGGCAGATCATGCCTGGTGTGAGGAAGCAGCTAGCTGGGTGTGGTCTGTGGGTGACTCAACATGACTGGAAGGCAGCTCCCAGATTCTCCCCCATTGCACTTGTATAATTTCGGCCTCACGAGGTCATTCATTGTCTGAGCTTGCATGCCTCAGCTGACAAGGCTGGACCTGGCCCCATATAACACTTTGTCTTGTGGATCTGACGGAGAGTGACTCATCGCTCACCTGTCATGCCTCGTGAACTCCAGCACTGAGAAGCAGGAGAGAAAAGCGAAACCTTCCTAGTCTCCTCAGCGAGAAGGCAGCAAACCTGATGATGGGCACGTTCTATTGCCCGTGCTTAGGTTTGCATTTGTTCCATTCTTTCCCTCCATCATTCGTACTCTTCCTGTCCGAATCTGCCCACTGGGTATGTTTCTCACAGGCAGCAAACAGTTGGGCTTGTTTTTTAAGACATGGTCTCTCTAAATAGCCCTGGCTATCATGGAATTCACTATGTAGACTAGGCTGGCGTGGAACTCACAGAGATCTTCCTGTATGCTGGGATTAAAGACATGAGCCACCATGCTAGATCATTTTTTTTTGTCTTGATTTTTTTTTCCTTTGAGATAGGGTCTCAGGTAGCCCAGCTGGGCTTAAACTTCTGGGGTTATAGATGGGCACCATCATACTTGATTTATTCAATACTATGAGTCAAACCCAGGACTTTAAGTATACTAGGCAAACTCTACCAACTGAGGTGCTTTACATCCCTTGCCCAGATGTTGCTTTCTTGGGGCTGGGAAAATATTGGTGAAGTGCTTGCTATGCAGGCATGAGGACCTGAGTTCAGATCCCCAGCACTCATAAAAAACCAGATACGGCAATGCAGGTCTGTAATCCAGTGCCAGTGGGGTAGAGAAAGGCAGATCCCTAGAGCTTGTAGCAAACCACTAGCTGACTGCATAAACTGCAAGTTCAGTGAGATACCCTGTCTGAAAAAGGGAGAAGCAATTGAGGAAGACACACAACATTGACTCTATCTGTATGATTTCAGTGCTCTGGGAAAGTAAATAGTTTTTACATGTTGTTGATGATAGAGTGTCGGAGCCCACCTTTATTCTCTATTAATAGACATTTCATTTTATCTTAAGCTATTAGGAGAAAAGGAAGGGGTTCCTAGAACTCATACTGTAGACCAGGCTGGCCTCAAACTCAGAGACCCACCTGCTTCTGCCCCTACCCCTCTCCCCGAAAATTAAGATAGAGTATCTTAAGTTTCTATTGTTGTGATGAAATACTGACCAAAAGTAACTTAGGGAGCATCTCAGTTCTTTTTCTATTGATGTGACAAAATGTCATGACCAAGGCGACTTCTGAAAGAAAGCATTTGTTGGGGCTTACAGTTCCAGAGGGCTGGAGTCCATGAGCATCATAGTGGGGAGCATGGTGGCAGGCAGGGATGGAGCTGGAGCTTATATCCTTTCCCAAAAGTAGGAGGCAGAGAAAGCTAACAGAAAATAGGATGGGCTTTTGAACCCTCAAAGCCCACCCGCAGTTATACCTCCTCCAATAAAGCCGTACTTCTTGATCCTTCTACCAACTATAGACCAAGCATTCAAATACAAGAATCTATAAGGACCACCCATTCTCATTCAAACCACCACAGGTTAGAATGTGGTTTTTTTTTTGTTGTTGTTGTTGTTGTTTTTTGTTTTTTCGAGACAGGGTTTCTCTGTAGCTTTGGTGCCTGTCCCGGAACTAGCTCTTGTAGACCAAGATGGCCTCGAACTCCCAGAGATCCGCCTGCTTCTGCCTCCGCCTCCTGAGTGCTGGGATTAAAGGCTTGCGCCACCACCACCACCACCACCACCACCGCCACCACGTGCGCCGCCGCCACCACCGCCTGGCCTGTTTATTTCATTTTACATTTCCAGGTAACAGGAACTCAAACAGGGCAGGAACCTGGAGGCAGGAACTGAAAGCCATAGAGGAACACTGCTCACTGGCTTGCTCTTCTTAGCTTGTTTAGTTTGGTTTTTTAGACATTGTAGTTCTACCTGCCCAGGGTGGTACCTTCCCCAGTGGGGTGGTCTTCCCACCTCAATCATTAATCAAGATGTTCTACTGATTTGCCCATATGCCAATCTTAGGGAAGCATTTTCTTAATTATGATTCTTTATTCTGAGATATGTATACGTTGCATTAAGTTGATAAAAACTAAGCAGTACACAGAGCAATACAGTACTATAAAGTACTTTGGCATACAAACCTAAATTATACTTATGACAAAATGGAACGAACAGGTTAAGGTAATCTGTTCATAAGCTAATTTAATCATGGGTAAACTCTGGACCAAACTTTGCAAGTGGAATCAAGGTCTAAGCTTTTATTTAGAGCCCATTCCACCTGGTCCCTTTTCCTTTAGTGGGTTTAGGAGTTGATGTGGGAGTGTCCCTGTTCGGGCGCCATCTGTTGAAATAGGAGCGGCAGCAGGGCTGCGTCCCCAACACCCCGGCCGCTTGGCTAGCTTATGCCCGAAATAACAACACACAAACTGTATTCATTTAACTGCTTGGCCCATTTCTATCTAGCCTCTTCTAGGCTAACTCTCTCACCTGGACTAGCCCATTTCTAGTAATGTGTGTAAGCAACCCAAGGTGCGCTTACCGGGAAGATTCTAGCCTCTGTCCATCCTGGGAGAGTTGAGCATGGCGTCTCTGCCCCAGCAGAGCTGTCGGGTCTCTCCGGGAGCAGAGCAGAGTCTGACCTCACTTCCTCTTCCGCCCAGAATTCTATTCTGTTTTCTCCTCCCATCTATGTTCTAACCTATGGGCCAGCCAAGCAGTTTCTTTTATTGCTCAGCCAATGAAATCAACAGATTGATATAACACTCCCACATCACTTCCCCTTTTTCTGTTTAAACAAAAAAAAAGGCTTTAACTTTACATAGCAAAATTACATATAACAAAACAGTTATCAAGTAAAAATTACAATAATCTATATCATAACTAAGGAAAACTATAACTATAGCTAACTATTCTTAACTCCATCAAACAGTCCAGAAAGATACAATATTACCTAAGCAAATAAGAAATAAGCAAACTCTCAAACTCTAGAAATGACAGAGACATCTCGCTGCCTGGACAGTCACCCAAAGTTCCTCTGTACCGTTGGGGCATCCATCTTCGGCCTACAGGCCCATAGTTTCCAGCAGACATTTCCACAAAGCAGGAAATTTCAAAGGCAGTCATTATCTGCTTGTCCTGAAGAATGTCTTGCAGGCTCTCTCATGAATCAGGAACCCGAAAGATCATCTCACCTTTAGGCAAGTTCAGCAGTCCTCTCTCTGCAGGTTCTCTTTGTCCAGTTTATGCAGTAGTCCAGGCAAGAGCAGTTTCTTGCCCAAATGGCTATCAAACTCCATAAGGATCCTCTTCGATGCCCATCTTCTTCTTGAAGTAGATTGGTGCTGCCAGGAGCAGAGTGTCTCATTGTCATGAAAAGCCCTAAGTTGTTAAAACATTTAAAATGCCATATTCTATAATCTTTGAAAAATATGAAGAATGGCTATCTAAAATATATCTATGTACATCTAGAAAATCTTAACTAACATGACTACAAACTTAACTATTATTAATGATTATTCATTAACAACCTATATGCATTACAAAATTAACCTTAAATTTAAATCACTAAAGCAAAATCCATATCAATGTAAATTATTCATACCTATATCATCTCCCCCTTTAAATGTAAAAGAACATTTATAAACAATATTTGGGAATATGGGCGCAGATTTTTCTCTCCAAACTGCTTCCTGCTGAATGGGGGCGTCGTTAACTAGGTCTTTCATGGTATAACCTGTGTGCTAGTTTCATCTGTTGGCAGTTGAGCGAAGCAATTTTCTGAAGGTATTCACAGCAACCATTCAGGAGGGCGTGATCCATCATACCATATTGGAATAGAAGAAATGAACAGGGTCTCATCCTCTGTGAAAACAAAAAAAGAAACTCCTTTCCAAAGTATCATGTCCTTAGATCCAAATTTCAAAGTCAAGGCATCAAAATCCCTACGATGGATTAGTTCAGCAGCATTTATAAACAAATATCTTTTAGCATCTGTTGCTCCTTCCTCAGCAATAATCTATTAATTCTTAGATATTCATTTCAGCTAGGATTGGATGAAATTAATAAAAACTCAACCTAGAATTAAAACTTTTCCTTTTTTTTTTTTTTTCAGGGGAGGGTTTATCTCTTTAACAGCTCTGGCTGTCCTAGAAATCGCTTTGTAGACCAGGCTGGCCTCGAACTCAGAGATCTGCCTGCCTCTGCCTCGAGTGCTGGGATTATTAAAGGTGTGTGCCACCACCACCTGGCTCCTATCACAATTTATAAAGGACAGTAAGAGTCACAATAGAACTGTAACAATATACATAGGTTGTATGAATGTGGTCAAAATATTTGTTTTCATTTAATTAGTATTTCTGAATCACAGTTAGATAATGCTGACTAGAGGGAACAGAAGCCAGATCGGTGGGGAGAGGGTTACAGCTCTCTCCTTCATATGAAATCATTAGTGTTCTTACCTGCATTCTGCTCATTTTTCTCATTCCATCTCAACTGTTTAGAACATCCTTGCAGCCCACTCATCACCCTTAGTCAGATTCTGACCTGAGGAGTGGGGGCTTGTCTCCATTTCTCCAAATAGAGGTTGAACACTTTGGTCAATAGTTGGGGCTGGATCCAGGAGCACCACATTGCAGAGAGGAAGCCCTTCTTGAGATTAGATTCGGATGTGTCATTTCATTAACACTTTACACGTGTGGGGTAACTAGGTGGAGGATATTTATGTCAACAACGTTACGTCTTGTAAATAGCAGTGTCACAGTGGGAACAAGTGTCAGTAAACTAAGGCTGTACCCAGGGTGGTTGGGGAAACAGGAAGTTGCAAAGGCAAAATAAGGAGATTATTATATCACAAAAAAACTAAGTTTTGGCTGTAAGAGCCAGCAACAAGAGTGGTAATAGTCCAAGGCTGGACAGACAGCAACTGAGCACAGGGCCTTACACAAGCATCCAAGTGTGGCAGCCTTGGTGTAAGCAAGGGTTTTGGCAGTCTGTGAGGTAGACGAAGGGGCTCCTTCTCCCCCGACACTTCCTTCCACATTCACATGGATTCCAGGCTTCAGACGCAGGTCAACAGACTTGCACAGCAAGCACCTTTACCTGCCAAGCTGTGTAACACGTGCCCCCTCCTGGCTTGTTAATCTGACTGGGGACTTAACTATCATTTCTAGTTACGACGGTCATGGGAGGAAATAGTAGCTAGTGTCTGTCACACAAGGCCCAGGGTGTTAACTTTTTTTAATTTTGCAAATCTGGAGTATGCCCCATTAAGTTACTGGGCCACTTGTGTCTCCACATAGGAAAGGACCCAGGCGCTCAAAGGCAGAGCCTGGGCAAGCCTATGTGCTTGGTCACGTTTTGAGACTCCCTGGACAGTCTCAAAACCTGCTGGTAAAGACTCTGAAACAGGAGGTGTTGTTTATCTGGCAAAGAGCTTGAGGGCATAAATAAATAAATAAATAAATAAATAAATAAATAAATAATTTTTCTTCCCCTTTATTCTAAGACCAAGAGATATCCTCCTAGCCAGAGCTTCCGCAGCTCCCCAGTAGTCCGTGGGGCAGGCAGGGCAGAGATACAGGTGCCCCTGCCCCCATCCAAGTTCTTACACATACCTGGTCTGTAGAACCTGCAGCTCACAGGGTAAATTAATTAGCATTAGTGCCACTCCGCAGGGCACCACCAGTTGTGCCTTGAAGTCAGTGCTCTAAGCTTCAAGTGGCTCTTCCAAAAACATCTCCAGGAGGCCTTACCCAGAGTTCTAGGATCTCTAGGAGAGGCTAGAAGGCTCCAAGGAAACCTGGCTTCATAATCACTACTCAATTCAAGTTCTTGGCAGGCCATAGGCCAAATAGGTGAACATCCCTCTAGCCCCCATGAGTTAAACTCCCATTATGGCTGGACCTTCCTCAAGATTCAGGGCCTAGATGCTGGAAAACAGCACTTGATGGGCAAAACTATGTCTGCCCACCCTGCAGAACTGCACCTGCACAGCCTTGGGGCACATCCTAAGCCTCAAGGAAGGGTAGCTTGTACTTCAGAAGGGCCCCAGGGCAAGAGGCTGCCTCCGGAACTCTTCCTGCATCATGACCTGTGGAGCATTACAGGGCCTCAGCAGCAGCCACGCTGTCCTCCAGCTGCTGAAGCAGCTCCTCTGGCTGTGGGGAGAATGCGCTCGTGTCCACTCTTTGAAAGTCAGGATGTGCAACCACAGAGGCCAGCACATCTGCAAGGCGGCCAACATCAAATGCAGCCTGCTGCAGGCCCAGCCCGAGGCCTGTGCTGGCCCCTGTATCCCCCTTCAGTTCTTGCCTCAGGACCAGAAGCCTCTTTTCAGCGATGACCTTGAGAAAATGGTAAAATTCTTCAAAATTGATCCCCGTGCAGGCCTTCATGATGACCTGGGCCAAGAGGAAAAGGAAAGTAAGGCCTGGGAGTCACATCCAGACTCAGACTGCTCTGGTGCAAAGATCCCTCCCACACACCCAGGTGTCAGGGTTAAGACGGGACCCGGAGGCAAAGGGACAGAGCCAGGAGCGTGGCCAGTAGGGTCTGCATCATGAAGCCTGGCCCTGGCATCCGCACTGGCTGGCTCAGCCTGGGCTGGTTGACCCCACCTGGCAGTGGTGGTGCCAGTCAGGCATGGAGTCCTTCCACTCTCTGACCTCCTGCTGTACTGCCTGGAGTTCTTGCTGCAGGAAGCGCCACATGTGAGCCAGGTTGCAGCCATTGACCCAGTTGTGGTTGATGGAGATGGTGTCGTCCTGGAAGGCAGAGGAAAAGCTCCATGAGGCATCAGCAGGCATCACCTTTGGTGGGCAAATCAAATCCCGTTCCACGTCCACCAGGCTTGGTGCTTTCTGTGGGTGTGACACTTAACTGTCACCCTGACACAGTCTAGACTTATCTGAGAAGATAGTCTCAGTGAGGAACTGTCTACACTAGATTGGCCCGTGGGCGTGTCTGTGGGGAGCTTGTCTTCACTGATGTGGGAGGACCCAGCTCACTGTGGGTAGCACCACCATTCCCTAAGCAGAGGGTCCTGAACTGTGGAAGAGCAGAAAACTGAGCTGAGCACAAACGAGAAAGTAAACATGTATGCCTCTCTGTTCTTGACTGGCTGTGATGTGACTGGTGTCTGAAGTTCCTGTCTTGGCTTCCCCACAACCATGAACGTGGAATACACCCTTTCTCCCCTGAGTTGCTTGTGTCAGAGTACTTTGTCACAGCAGAGGTAGCAGACACCCAGCCTCGGAAGCCAGGAAATGCTGACCCCCATCTCATGATGGGGCTAACACGTCTGGATGAGAGCTGGAGGGTCCAAATTAGAACAGGGCAAGCGGATGAGCTAGCTCTCCGTGGTCTCACTGTGGCTTTCCTGCTGTGTCCAGCCTTTGCAGGGGAGTAGTACTGCTTTCTTTCTAGAGAGGTAGTTGGGGGTGTAGAGGAAGGGGGCCTGGCAGAAGCAGGGTCATGTGCAGTCTTACCAGGTTGTACACTTGATGGTGCCATCCGCTGGGCACAAAAATCATCTCACCAGCCTCCTGTATGACTTCAAGGGGTAGACTGCTGTGCTGCATCCTGGGATACAGGCGAGTGTCCAGGAGTTCGGGGGCAGTCACATCATAGGGCAGGTTACCATGGCAGTCACGAAGGGCCTCCTCCTGTCCTGGCGGGAAGAACAACCATTTCTTCCTCCCACAGATGTTCACTGACCAGCTGAAGGAGCGGAAGATGTCCGCATGGAAGGGAGACCTACAGCAAGGGCTTCTGGTTTGTCTTGTGGAGTCCTGTGTGGACCCTGGCTTTTTTGATAGGCCTCTAGGCAGATGCCCCAGATGGTCACACCTCCCACCTCATCTTTACCAGGTGCCCCTGGGCCCCGCATAGACAAAGCGGTAGTCATCCACATTGAGGACATCCCAGAACTCGTTCAGCCAGTCTGATGAGAAGTACACAGGCAGGGTGAATATATCTTCCAAGTCATCCACCAAGGAGTCTCTGAGGAAAGAACAGGAGCGGTATAGCGCTAATCTACTCTGTGCCCTATCCCAGCAGGCTCACCTGCGTCAAATTAGGCCACCCAAGATCACCCAGTCCTGGTGGACAGCTTGACTGCAGCAGATTCTGAGGACCTGAGCTGAACCTCAAGTTGCTCGGTTCAGAATGCTGAAGATAAAATGACTTTGGGGATACCGTGCTTAGGTACTCCACTGTGGCCGTGGTCACTGGGGCTTTGCACAAATGTTGAGCAGCATCCCAGTTCCTCCTTTTCTTCACCAATACCAGAGAGCTTAACACTACCTGGCAAATCCAGGCTACAGCCCTAGGTGTGAGAGCCTCAAAACCCACCACTGGGTCCCCAAACACTGGATCATATTAACATCAGCCTCAGAGAAGGCACAACTCCATCAACATCATGCTGGAAAAAGCATCCAGATTCATGTTCCTGTAACTCCCAATAAGAGACGGAGATAGGCAGAGCCCCATAACAAATTATCTGTAGGTTCAAACATCAGGATTGTCTGCTTTTGAGCACTCAGCAAACTATTAAACTCTGCTCAGGCATCACTTCCCCTGTGGCCTCCTCATTATGCAACTCCATGCCTCCTTCTGCCCTTATGGTTTCAGGGTCTTCCAGACAAAAGCACAGGCAAACATTGAATTTACATCAATGATCAATTTTCTAGCATAAATATGCCAGTATAATAGTTGGGAAATATTCATTACCTCCTCCACACAAAAAACAAAACAATCCAATGGAAATGTTTACCTAAAATCTCAAACTTAGACACACGACAGTATTAGGCCTGTGAGTCCATCTGCACCTGCTCAAACATTATACAGATCTAGGACCAGCGTCTGGTCACACTTTACCCAGCTCCTGCATAGGCCAGCAAGTAGAATGTCAGGGTAGCCAGAGGCTGGTGTTTCTTTTGCATCTGGTCAGTTGTGGAAATTGCAGGGGCCTGAATTCCATCCCACTCTACAGTCCTGAGCCTTATTTTGCACACAAGCGATACAGGAATTCAACTGTTCAGTGTGCCTTCTGCTGGGGTTCTGAACACAACCGTCTGTGCTTGTGAAAGTCAGAGAAAGCACGTGGTCCCAGGGCCACCATGGAGGGAGTGGTGGTGTTCTCAAAGTGAGCATCATGTGGGCTGGAGGTCTTAGGTACAGGCAAAACTCTGACAACGATCTTATGTACTGACTTGTCCAAGTTGGAAATACCATAAATTTAAAAATGTATTAACAGCATGTGTTTAGATGCTCAAGACCTTAGTATTAGCACTTCCAAAAATAAAAGGGCAGCAGTGTGCCTAAATGCACGGCCACTGTAGCATATCACAGCAACGGAGCATACTCTAGAGGCGTGATCATTTCAGTAGACCCATGGGCTGGGTGGGAGTATCGCTTCTCGATGCTGAGAGAGAACAAAGAGAGAAGGTAAGAGAAAAGGGATGGGGAAGAAACAGACCACGTGTGGCCAGCCTGGAAAAATAGCAAAATCCAAATCTCGAAGTTTACTAAACTCTCTGCACTCCTGCACCATCACGAAGTCAAAATCTCCTAAGTAAAACTGTCACAAGTTGATGTGTGAGAGAAGCAGAGGCTAATCAGGTGTTGAGCGCCTCTTTAAGGGATTCTCAGAATGGGGCAAGAGCGGTTGTAGAAAGGGCACTTGCTCTTTTGAGAACCTAGAATGGGCCAGGCAATGGCAAGAATCCCCAGAACAACCATGGAGTGGGTTCACGGAGAGGAGAGCCCCAGAGGATCTGAGAGGAACCTGCTCAGACATTATACAGAAGACGCCACCTGGACCCATTCAAAAAACACTTACTTTCCTCATGACAGTCCACTGGGCTGGGTGGTGACCTTTCCCAGGAAGCTCCCTCCCACCAGCTTTGAGACAGACTAGAACTTGCTGGAGAGGTAACCCCTCTGAGTGCAGGAGGAATGACCTAGAATGCTCTACCAAGGAGACCTGCACTCGCCGTTTAGGGACTGCCCCGTTACCTGCACAGGTGCCAGTCCTTGAGGTAGAGGCAGCCCCTCGGGGAGGAGCAGCCTCCTTGTATGTACTCCTTCCAGTAACTAATGTAGTCACGGAAGGGCATGTGCTCCTTGGGATTTGAATTGTACTCCCGCACTCCACAATTGGCAACCGGTACAACCACGTCTCCTGCAGCGAGAGGGTGGGCACAGAAGTGGCAGAGTCATCAGTGTAGTTCACCCCCTTGGGCTCCTGCCACCCTCTGGGCGAATTATCCAGATCCCACTCGTCTGTCCTGTCCAGGCCACCCTCCCATCCCGGGGTCTACGCCTCCCCATCTGCTCCGACTTCCCCAGGCAGGCCGCCGGCTCCCTACCATACTTCTGCAGCAGATAATCGAAGTCAGGCTTCCCCGCCAACGTCACCCAGCGCCGCCGGCTGCCCCAGCTCTCGGTGAAGGCGCTGGAAAACACGCAGGGCAGGTTAGGCAGCAGGAAGCCCTTCACGAAGTCGGCGTACGAGAAGGCGTCCGGCGACTGAATGAAGGTCACACTGCTGGGTGCAGGCCCCCCGCAGCCAGGGACTCGGCCCTCGAGGTCCCGGTAGTGCCGCTCGGCAAAGGTGCGAGTCTCCCGATCCATCCACCGGGGAACCTGACCCCAGAGGCCCAGCCCTCCTTCTCACTACACTCTAAATGGGGAATGGAGGCCGAGAACCCTAAGACCTGTTTGGAGCAGAATCCACAGTGGAAGAGCCCGGAACCAGATAACAGAGGTGCAGCCTTCCAGCAGGAACTCAAGCCTTGGCGCTCCCGGGATGTGCGCGTGCGCCCTACGCGGGCCCGCCCTCTCGCGCAGGCGCAGAGCGCTCGCCCGGTGGCGGACCTGCTTCCCAGCGGCTGGTGTCAGTGTTTGGTGGTCCAGTGGCGCTTGCCACTGCGTCTCCTGTGCGCTCCTCTTGTCTCAGGTGAGCGGTACTGCTAACGCGCAGCTAGGCAGTACTCGAGCCCGCCACTGAGACAGGAGATGGACATGAGTCCCAAACCTTAGGGGATGACGGAGTCCTGAAGAGATGGTGGGGTGCGAGCGGAGGGTGAGGATCCGCGGGGCGTGGTGAGGCTCCTGAGTCTCCGGGATAGGTCGAGGAATCTTTCCAAGGATTGTGTTGTTTACCTAGAGGTAGAACGGGAGAAAAGTGACTTTTGGGAGATTCTGAGGTCAGATAGAGAGGTGTGTGGATTAGGTCGGGCAAGAGTAGAAACAGGAGGCAGAGGATTGTTTGATATAATTCGCCCGTTGTGGACCTCACTGTGTTTCTTGTGGTCAAAGTGTAGTACTCTATTGCAGCTAGGTCATGGTAGGAGATGACAGCTCTTAGAGAAATACAAGTGGAGAGAAACATATCCACGCCAAGGCACGTGCTGCACGCCTTAATCCCAGCATTGGGGATGCTGAGGTGGAAAGATCCAAGGGTTCTTAGGACAGTATGAACCACAAACCAAGACTTGTCTCAAAAAGAAAAAAAAAAGCCAGAATATAATAACAACAACAATAAAACCCCAAGTCACCCAAAAATTCCATCTATGTGCAATCATTAAATCTTCTGGTATCAAGCCTGTTTTTCTAGGCATACATGAATTTGTACATTTGATTCCTGTTCCTCCCTCCTCCCGGAGTTTTCCTTCTTTTCCTACACTGGCAGTATGTTATATTTGGAAACATCTTTTTAGATCTTTAATCTACTTCTTGGTATACAGTTCTTAAAAGTCTTGGATTATTTGAGCTGATAAATGCCATTTTGCATATAAGTTGTCCAACACCATCCGACATCCTGTAGGTTGGATTCCAGGTGGAGCTGGTAACTAAAACATGAGCAGGACCAGAGAGTAGGGACTTTCAACCCAGCCCTTGGCCCCTAGGGCTAAAGTTTGAGTAGGTTATCAATGACCAGTGTTTAGTTAGCATTGCCCCTGTAATATTAAGTCCAGAAAATCCTTAGAGGACTCATTCAGAGGATCTTAGAGAGGGTGCCTAGGGAGCGCATGGGCAGGGTCTTCTCATACTTTGACCTCTTGCATCTTTTTATACCCTGTGTAATAAAACAGTAAATGTAAGTTAGTGTTTCTCTGAGTAATATGAGTTTCTGGGAGAAAGCCAACTCAAAGAGGGGTCTTTGGGACCCTCTTTATAGGTACTGGTCATCAGAGGTGGCACAGCCTGAGCTTGCATCTGTACTGAAGTAGGGACATCTTGGGAGATTGAGCCCCCACCCTTGGGATCTGATGCCATCTTGAGGCAGACATTGTCATAGCTGAACTGAATTGAAGGACCTTCTGGTGTCCACTGCTGACAGTTTTAGGGTCCCAGAATTCAGGGCTATGATGTGAGACTAAATGTAAAATAAGTGGTTTGTTTTTTCCATAAAAGTATGAAAAACCCAAGTAGGAATTGCTTCTTTTCCTGCGTATCTGAGACCAGTGTCCCGAGAAAGAGGTCAGGGCCAGCAGGTGTGTTTGCTGTCAAGAGTTCTGGGGCAGCACAGCCCCTAACACAGTGACTGGGACATGGGCTCCTGACCCCTATTTAGTTAGTGTTGTAATTCTGGTCTTCAGTGGTGGCCTCCGGGTGTCAGTAACACCGTCGGATATGTGAGGCCTGGAGAGAGGCCTGGAACACAGGTGTGTGTCCATGAAGTTACCTCCCTACCCCCAGCTGGGAACCGCTGGTGATGCACATCCTCTGCCCACACAGACCTATGGAAACTACGCATCCTGGGCAGAGCCACCCCAGAGGAAAACAGGAAAGGACTGGAGTTGGCACCCCGAGGAGATGAGGTGGAAATAGTGGATGGTCTCATTTCTCTCTGGATGTCTGCAGCATGCCCTGCAGCTAGGCCCTGGCGTTTGAAACATCCTCAGAAGCATGGCTGAGCCTCCCGGGGTGGAGATGGGAACTTGTGAGGGAGTGGAAAGAGGGTCTGCCTTGGAGCAGGAGGGGAGCAGGAGGGCAGGTAATGGAAAAAGCCAGTCTTGCCGCCCCCGCTCGGACACACTGCCCCACTGTTCTCCCTCTCGGCCCCGGAGTGGAAGGTGTGCAGAACGTTGCGTGTTCGTTACTTTGGAAATTAACTAAAAATAGGCTGTTTACTCGCTATTGAGTTCTACTCAAGGGCACATGTGTGATGCAAATGCTGAAAGAGACCCATTGTGCCCACCCCAGTGTGTTAGGCGTCAATAGTCAAGTGACGTGGGCCTAGCCCCCAAGAACATCACTTATGTGAATTAGCTTGACACCCAGGGGGTGCCTGCCATGACTTCCCATGGTGATTGTGCCTCTTACATTCAGGGTCCACACAGGACTCCTACTCTACCTGTACTGGTGGAGGCAAGTTACACCAAACAAAGAATTCAGGAACAGAGCATCTCTGGAAGCCCTCTCAGTATGTGACCAGGTGCCCACGGAGTGCACAAGGCTTCTGTGAAGGTCACCTTCAGTGCACAGAGCGAGTTACCTTGGGAAATCTCTCAGGTATGGGAGTTCTGTGGTTGTGGTGGGCATGAGGAAGGGGAAAGGTGCCATTTAAGCAGCAGAAGCTTTAAGATGAAGAACAATTGAGAGTCGGGTGGAGCGGAAGGGGCAGTAGAATGAAGCCCCATTTGACGGTCGGAGCTGGACTTGCGAGGTGGTGTTTTCTGCGATTTGTTTTGCAGTACTCTTCCTCACTCTCCCAGAACTCAGAGCCCCCCATATGCCTAGCAGGTGCTTTACCCTTCGGGAGCCAGTATTCAGAAGAGTTTTCAACGGAAGCCCGCCGTTTTCTCATTCTGTTTCCTAACTGGTTGGTGGTGAATGAGGGGCAGGAGGGAGTGAGAAGGTCCCGGAGGGGCTGTGTCGATGGAGGATGACACTACACTCGAGAGGGTGTCACTGTGGAGAACTGTCAGTGCTGACAGATGGGGGTCACAACCTGTATCCCAAGCCAGGTCTGAATAGAGCCAGATTAAAAGTGAAAAGTACAGAAAGAAAATTTATTCAATGTGGCCACATTGGGACAGATGATCTAGTGAACCTCCAATCTGGAGTGAATCTGGAGTGAGATTAAATAGAAGGCTGAAGATTTGCCTATTTAAGCAACACAGGTGTGGCCCCATCATTAACCCATCCTTGACTGGACTTCAGTCTCCTGTAAGGTGGTCTAACAAGTTGTTAGACTCACGTGAACCCTCTTTCTAGGAGACAAGTTCCCTCTGGCTAGTGCTCTTTTCCTTTTCCCAGCTTGAGATTCCTGGGGAGATTCCCATCTCTTTGGGTCCATTGTTTCAATACTCTGATAGTCAGATTGAGAGACACAATTGTCTCTTTAAAATATGTTCGTTTTTTGCCAGCCTGTTACATTAGGATTTGCTTATGGGTTTAGGAGGATGAGGAAGGCATAGATCCAGAAAGACTCTTTGTTCCAACACAGCTTCTGTTAAAAGACGAACCACATAGCCAGTACCTAGTAGAGTATGAGGTACCCAACAGATGAGCAAACATCCAGCTGGGCTGGTTGGAGAAGCCTGTTAGGTGTGTCATAAAAATGCTCAGCACCAACCAGAAGCCTGAGTTGAGCCTTGAGAGGTCATGGGTTGATAGATGTGGGTGGGTGAAGGCAGCCTTGTCACAGTCCTCTTACACTTTGTGTCTCGTACTGGCGGCAGTAACTGGAGGGGGGTGATGGCATCTGAGAGGGGGGGTGGTGTGTGTTTGAACTTGGAGGTTTTTATTGTTTTTTTTGGTTTTTCAAGACAGGGTTTCTCTGTAGTCTTGGTCATCCTGTAACTCACTCAGCAGACCAGGCTGGCCTTGAACTCAGAGATCTGCCTGCCTCTGCCTCCCTAAAGATGTACACCATCACCGCTCAGCTTAACTGGGAGATTTTTAATAGGCTTGTGAACTGATGACTTTGTCAAGGGGAATTCCTGGAGAGAAGTTCTGTCTGATTAAAACTACAGGGATGCGGAGAGGTTGGAAAGCTGCCAGGAGCTGATTAGCTTATCTTGGGCCCACTTTAGCCACCTGAGTTGCTAGCTGTTCCTTGTCCACCTCTGTATCAGTAGTATCCCGTGACTAATAGGTTAAAAACCTTTGGCATCTAGTAACTTAGCAGGCCACTAGCTTCTACTGTCTACAAGCTAAGCCTGTCATCAGATAGCATCTGTGGCCCATAGAAAAGCTTTGTCCACCTTGCTGTAAAGGCCCGTCTGATAAACTCACCAAAGAGTTTTACACTTGCTTCATTTATGGCTGTCGTTATTCTGTAAAGCTACAAAGCTTCATGAAACTGCTTTCACTTTGGAACGTGGAATTTGGAGCGACCTAAATCTGTGTTGCGGGACCATGGTCACTCAGATGGCTCCAGAAGAAGCATTTGTTATTTGAGGTGAGAGCTCTGCCTTTTGTGCTACAAATGGGATTGCCATGACCTGTAGTCCGTGTCCAGTTGCCAGAGTTCTGTAGATGAAGCTTATTGGAGTAGCCATGCCTCTTGGTTGATGTGTCACCGTGGTGGTGACTAAGATTCGTGGTGTCTAGGCCTGAAGTACTTACTTACCACATGGTCCTCACGCCGGGTTGGTAGACCTGCTGCAAAGAAGAGTGAAATCAGTGATGCTGAGGAGGACGGGGTGGGTGGAGGACCCTGTGCAGAATCTGGCTTCAAGGAGAGTAGGAGCCCCTTCTTGAGGACTCTGGGTGATGTCAGACTAGGCAAGGTCATAGGGTCTAAACACGCGTGGGCAGCTTCTGCTGCATGGGTAGGAACACTTTTCTCCTTTCTGCCCTTCCACTTAATAACTGTTTATTTTGGCTTTCTGGAAAAGACATCCTGGAAATCTGTGGTAGGGAAAGTTTTGGCCACATGCTTCTCCTTTGAAATTTGTCACATATGGGTACAGTGGTCATACTTATTATCTGTAATATCATGACAAGTGCTTGCTGTCTCCTCTCAACTCTTGGTTCTCTGTTGTTTTTCTCTTTGAATTTTAGAATGACCTAGAGCTGGTATTGACCTGAGGTCTTTTAGTTATTTTACCAGAGGGTAAACAGAGGTCCAGAAGGTGAGGTAACTTTTCCCGAGTCGTAAAGCTGTGGTGGAACTGGAGGAGCTGCAGCTGGGACCATGGCAAGCTTCCTCTGCTGCCCCGCTGCTAGGCCTGGGGATTTTCTGGGGAGTGTACAGATAATTTCACTGCCTACTCTTGCTCTGTGCAGGAGCAACCTTGTGGAGCAGGTGATTGTTTATACAAACTTTTTGTGGTGTCTAGCAGTGTGGCAGTGTGTTGTCCCATTTCCTGATTTTTATTTCTATTAATTCCTAATATGATTCCTAAAATCCTGGGCAATGAAGTGCCTTCTGCTGGTAGGTAGCCCCTAGGTAATTTCAGGGTGGGACGGTCATAGGAAGATGAGGGCAGAAGCATCAGAGGAGGGGGACTTCAGTCTTATCCCCAGACCCCAAAGAAGGAAGAGGGTCTGACAGCTGAGCAGATGAGCCGTGGCTGGTAGTTGAATCAGTCACACCCATGGAATGAAGCCTCTGTGGGTAGACTGCCACATAGTAGACTTCCTCGGAGCTGAACACTTGGAAGTTCCAGGGAGGGCAAGGCAGCCTTACTCAATCTTCCTACCTGGCCCTGTGTGTTTCTTCATCTGCATTCATTTTAATGCCTTTTATAATCCAATAGTAAATGTTAGTGTTTCTCTGTCTTCTGTGAGCTGTTTGAGAAAATGAATCCAGTCTGAGAAGATGGTGAGCCCTGACATATGGACAGTGGGTCAGATGTAGCCTGGGTTTGAGGTTGGCATCTGGAGTGAAGGCCATCTTAGGGACAGACTTGTCTTCAAGTAGACAAGGTTGCAGTGAAAATGGATTGCAGAAACACAGCTAGTGTTCGCTTTAGAACCAATTCCTGGGTGCTGTGTAAGGAGACATCACACACACATGTGTTTGCAGAAGTGATAGCAATGTAGGAGAAACTGGATTTGGGTTTTTTCCTTATGTGGATCCAGTCATTGAATAAGTCATTGTCTGTGAGCAATGGGAAACCCTTTCCAGCCAGAAACGAGACAAGGCTGTCTTCAGAAGCTGAGTGGTGTTCCCTTGGCCTTGGAAACCGTGAGTGGGCTGAACTAGCTCCCCTAATTCTGAGAAGCGCATGTCAGTACTTTTTAAAGCTATTATTTTGTGTTGGGGGAGTTTTACCTGAATGTATGTACACCACTTGGATGCAATACCCTTGGAGGACAGAAGATGGCATCAGATCCCCCCCCACAGGAGTTATAAATAGTTGTGAGCCACTATGTGGGTGCTGAGAATCAAACCTGGGTCATCTGGAAGAGCAGCTAGTCTTAAACAGCTGAGCCATTGCTCCATCCCCACCAGTGACTTTCAAGGGTTCAGAGGTCACTTGAATGGCTTGGAGGTGCTCTAGCCTGTGACCACTCGTTGTCCTGGAGTATAGGCTGTTCTGCTGAGGCATGAAGGTGTCAGCACTTGCTCCCTGTTTCTCCAGGCTCAGGTATGGGCTTCCTAGTTCAGGGACCTGTTGCCTATGACTCAGTGTGGCATATCCAAGCAGAAGACACTGACACTGGTGTGGCCTTGGTATGCTAGGGAGGAGCTCATAATGCAGACTTGTCTGCTGAACCCCTCCCTCAGGAAGACAAAGCAGCCTTCTCTACAGAAGGAAGTGTCTCCTGCAGCTGAGAAAATCTCCCCCACTTTTCCAGTGACATCAGGCTGTAAACTTCCTGGCTGTTTCTCATGGAGCTTTCCTGATGTAAGAGTTTGAGGTGTTTTGTTTGTTTTTAATGTGGTGGTTCCCCTGGTCTGGCCAAGGACAGGTTGTTAGGAGGCCTGTCAGGCCCCACATAGGACCTGGTTGTCCTCTGCAACCTGGGGTTGTCTACGAAATCCTTTTCTAAGTGACTTTTAGGTGTCTTCTTCTCTCCCACCTGTGATGGCGACAAAGAGCTGGTTTGGCAGCTTCCTTCAGGTACTGTCCTAGCTTCAGGCTGTGATTTCTGGTGTGTAGCAGTGACTTGGGGGAACCATAGCCACACAGTGGAAAATTCGGGTCTGCTCTTGCGGCTGTCATGGAGGAAATGTCTAGGATATGTTTGTGAAGAGCTCGAGCCAGGTTATTAGAGAAGACAGATCTACATCTTGTTTTTACCTGGTGCTTTCATTTTGTGTGCATTCAGGGTGACACGAAGAAAGTGTCCTTTCTTCCTCTGCCCCTGTCCCTGTTGTCTGCCTGTTGCTGTGCATAGGATGTGTTGTCTGAGGGTGACTACCAGATGGTAAAGCCAAGGCCAGGAAGCAGGTTTTTGGTATCTTCCTCATGCGGCGACCCTTTAGTACAGTTGCTCTTGTTATGGTGGTGACCCCAACCATAAAATTATTTCCTTGCTATTTCATAACTGTGGTTTTGATACTGTTGTGAAAATATCTGGTATATAGGTTGAGAACCACTGCCCTAGAGGTTCTAGGAAAGATGGATTCAAGACTCAGGGGTAGACTCCTCCCACCCCTGATGGGTAGCTTCCATGTCAGTCTGGTATATTTGGTTTGTTTCATACAGTGCTTGGTGAAGGCTGCCATCAGTACAGGATGGGCCTCCACCATGCCACGGTGTCCCAGCTGAACCAAAAAGCGAAGACCCATCACAAGGAAGTCACTGAGCCAGAACCTTGAATAGGATATGGTCTGCTGTTCTCCAAGAGCATCCAGTCAAACAAACAAGATGTGTCATTTTGTGTCCTTGTCTGCTACTTGGAGTCCCCCTGCTTGATCCAGAAATTGTGAGTAGGCGAGGAGAAGTCATAGTGTTGGCAGTCCTGAGCCTTGAGTGCCCAAGGCCTAGGGGGGGCTGTACTATGCGGTACATCCAGAGGCTTTTCATTCCCAGCTCTGGGAATAGGGAACTGTTTTCCTATTATACCTAGACTGTGGCTTTACTTACTCAAGTTGAAGGTTTGTTGCTTGGGGCTTTCCCAGTGGGCCCAATACATGGCAGCTATTGTGATCCCTGACTGCTACTGCGTGTGGTACAGGTCTTGAATGGGCCTCAGATATTGGGATGCTGTGCTCCAAAAGCAGTTTGTGCTATGTTCTAAGGCATAGAGTGCTGGGCCTTGAGAGGCCAGTGTCACAACTTTCATTCCTGGCATTTGGAATTCTTGGCAGCTCCTCTTGAGTGATTAAAGCCTGCAGGCTCTTTGTCTTCAGCTGCTCTCAGGCGGTCATTTTACACCTCTGCTCCCCAGCACAATCTCGGGAACTCCTTCCTTAACTTCCTGCTGTTGCTGCCTTTGCCATTGGTACCACTTTCCTCTCTCTTACCAGCTCAGCTGACTCCGCTAGGAAAAGTAAGAGAAACAGACCAGTGAGACCACTCAGCAGATAAACCTGCTTAGTGCTAAATCTGACGACCTGAATTGATTTCCCCCAGGAATCACATGGTGGAAGGAGAGAACCAACTCCTTTAAGATGTCCTCTGACCTATACATTCATGCCTTGACATGTGTGTATTCAGGTACAGTCAGGTGTGGTTGCATCTCTCATTTAGCCACCAATCAAACTAAGGACACTTGCAAACCTCCTCTGCATTAGTGGCCTCCAGAGGGACCTCCCGGGCAGGAACTGCCCCATGTGACTCTGCACCCCTTGTTCTTAGTGTGTGCTTTTACATTTCCCTCAGGCTGCTGTCCCCTTTGTTTGCTTGTTTTTTACAAAATAATGGAATTCTGTCCTGTGAAATTTGTTGGCAGTAGCCACCAATGGGAGAGCTGGTTCGTCTAATACTCCTGTTTCTAGTTGGGCTGCTCTCCTTAGCATCCCACCAGACATGTAAGGGTTACATTTCCCTATTGCCCGACAGCACTTAGCATCCTTAGCCTCCACCACAGACACTAGGGGTTGAGCCTAAGGCTTCACATGTGCTAGGCAAGCGCTCTACTCCTGAAGGATGTCCTTACTTTTGAAGGATGTTTCTAGAACCTCTTTATTCTTTCGATAATAGCCATACTTACTGGAGTGATACAGTCAGTGGGCAAACTTTCACATAGTTGGTCACTTGTATAATTTGTGTACAACATTCATTCATATTTTAACCCTTGTTAATTGCAATTTTGTTGTTTTTAAGATCATTATATATTTTGGATTTTAATCGATTTAAAGATTTATTTGGTTATGTGTGTTAATGTTTTCCTGTGTGTATGCACATCATGTACTTGTAGTGCTCAAGAAGGCCAGAAGAGGGCGTTGGATCCCCTGGGACTAGCATTTATAGCCAGTTGTGACCTGCCATGTGTGTACTGGGAATCAAACCCAAGGCCTCTGGAAGAGCAGCAAGTGCCCTTAACCGCAGAGCCATCTCT